CCCGGGGGGGGGGGGGGGGGGGGGTTGGAGGCGCTCCTCCTGGAGCGGAGCGGAGAAGCGTCCGGGGCACGGGGAGTCTGGCAATGTCCCCGCCGCCGTGCCTCAGTCTCCAGGGGGGGCGGGAAAATGCGGCCAGCTCTGGTAGTTTTTAACCTCCGGGAAAAAAAAGGCGTTTCCCCCCCTCCCCGGCGGCTTCAAGTGCTTCTGTTTTCTCTCTCCGAAGTCGATCATTTTTTCATTCTTTCTTTTTTTCCTTTTTTTGGAATTTGTACAAGTCTTAAAAAAAACTATGATGTCGCTGTAAAAGAAACAACGTTCTGGTGTTTCGGGAGCCGGGGGGGGGTTTGGGTTTAGAGAGGTTTGCGTTTCGATCCCGTCACGATCGGTCGAGCGAACTCCACAAAGTCGTCTATAAGGACCGGCCACGCGCCTGGGAGAGGAGACAGGAAGGCCACACAGGCGGGTGAGGGACTAGTCTGAGGGGCTCTGTGCGGGTTTCAGCTTTGAACGGACTCACCTTCCTCGTCGTAGTTTGACATGTCGTCTGCAATCATGTTGCCGAAGTCCAATAATAAGTTCCACGTGTCCTTGGGGATGGATCGTTTATGGTGTTCCTGGAAAGGAAAACTTCTGGTGACCAGGGGAATATGGAAAATGGGCTCTCAGATTGAAAAAAAATGCAAACAATTTCAGAGCAAACCTTACCTGTTGATCCAAATAACATCTCATTGGTTACTGATATAGAGACCCACCCAACCAGCTAAAAGCTTCTGTCATGCTTAAAACTATTTATTCTCTGTATTTCTAAATGGTAAAAACCTCAAATGTGACATATCTGTAGTTGAACATGATGACTTGAATCTAGATGTTTAAAGTTATTTTTTACACCCTCAGCTGTGGTTTACAGATCCCGCACAGCGCCCATGCATGAAGGCGGATTGTAAATGTCGGACAGCAGCTGGACTCAAAGGCCAGCATGATACTTTTTGGCAACAATAATTGTTGAAAACAAGTTTTAAAATGACACTGGACTTATAAATACATTAGTTTGTTGTTTGCAATTAAACTGCACCGCTCTAGAGCAACCGCTGATCCACAGTACTGAGCTAACACTAGTTTGCTACCTTTGTGTTTTTTAAACTGCCAGTTTCCAAAGTATCCAAGAAGTGAATTTAAGCCAGTGCCGAAAGACGTCTGCTAACAGAAGGCAGAAAAAAACAACAACCTCGGAGCCAGGTGGGAGCGAAGAAAAGTCCTTTTCGATAAAGAGGGAAAAAAAAGTTCTAATGTGACTCACCAAAAGGAATCTGTTCCAAAGATCGAGGAACTTAAATCGTCCCGATAGAACAAGGTTCCAGTAGGCTACAGCCATCTCCAAATCTGAACACAAAGAGCTTCAGCTCAGCGGGGGGGGTCCCCGACACAAACTACGGCAGCCTGAACGTCCAGCACTCCACTTACCGAGACCCTTCTGCCCAGGGTTTTTGGCAAAGTTAAAAGTGAACTGGTAGAAGTCTTTGAACTTGCCGCTATCTTTCAGCTCCTGCTCTAATCTCGGCAAGAGGGCCTTTAACTTTTCCGGGCTGTCGCACCTAGAAAAACACAAAGTAAAGCGATCAGGTCAAAGAATGGTCCCACGTGGAGCCGCTAGCAGCCCGGCCGTCCCGACGTGGGCAGCAGCCTGTGTGTGGTGAAAGTGACACTGTGGTCACATGAAGCCCTAAAATCAAAACACGGCAACTCTGCGAGAGCGCCCGGCATGGCGACTCGAATACTCGGGCTGTGGGCGGATCTATATTTAGCCAGCCTTCCCCTCCCTTAGAGCTGCCCCACGAGAACCACCATGTTAAGAAGCGCCGGACGTATGGCACACTGCTGATGTCAACACTCACCCCAGCTCCGTCATTCCGTCTAGAAACTCCTTCTTGGTGAACTCGCACTGAGTGGCGGCGCGGAACTTCCAGGCCACCACCAGCACGGTGATGCTGGCCGGATCCAGCGAGAGGTCATCGCAGAACTGCTGGATCCCATCGATGCCGATCTTATTCTCATCCTGAGGGTCTGTGACGAAAGAGGGAAAAAGCAAAACAAACAAAAAAAAGGACACAGTTATATGCCGGCGGGTTGTAAACACGTTACACCTTTAGAACATGGTGAGGCGCTTTTTCTCGCCTTTGTAGCGATTGTAGAGCTGCTCCAGCTTCTTCCGGTCCACCGAGGTTTTCATGGACTCCTTGCAGTAATGTTCTGGGTTCTGAAAGTAGTTGTCTGTTGCCACCTCTAGTTTCCAGTCATTCTGCGTGAGGCAGTACACGGCGGTCTTCTCCCCGGCCTGTGTGAAGGACATGAACTGCCGTACCTTGTCCCTCTGCGAAGACTTCAGCTTATGCTGCAGACGGACGGGACAGGGGCTGTCAGAGACCGGCGCGATCAGGCCGGGGAACACGGACAGCAGCACGCAGACGCACACCGACACACCCACCAACACGCACAGCGAGACATACACATCCACAGGCATTCAGGCAGGAGCGGCAGACACTCAGAAACACATGTTTCCATAAAGGTCAGCCGGCCACGCAACCGACACGGAACAAAACATCCACGAAGATCGGCCTAGACGGAATGGTGGCGATCAGGTCCCGTCCGAGAGCAGAGTTTGTGAGGGGGATGCTGTGGATACGCAAAGCACATGCTGTACCCCAGAGGGCCCCTTAGATAACTACAGTCATAGGTGTAACATGAGTACAGAAATGGGATGCCATCGCAGTGACCTGGAAGCTCATGCAGTCTGAACCACAACTGAAACAGCTAAAGTACTTCATATCAATCAGTATATTTTTTTAAAAGGGAAAAAAATAAAGGAAAAGGAGATGTAACACCAACATAATTGGGATGTTTCAAGATATGGAGTCACTTAGTGTGCATTTCACTCGGCTGAAAGCCAGGCAAATGAGTAAAGAGAATCATATCATTAAACTGTAATGAGCAGTAATGGACAACAACAAGGCTTTAAAGTCATTATGGTACTTTAAAATATGTATCAACTGATATCTAAAGGCTCTACAACTGACGGCTACTAATCACTAGTTTTTTTCTTAACATAAAAAAGTTTCAAGATTACATCGGATATTTTGTTTATTGATTGATTTTTTTTTTTTTATCAGTTAAACTGACACTTATGTAGTTTTCATAATGTTGGGGGAAGAAATAGTCAGCAAGATTTAAATTATTGTAACGTTTCGTTGTGGAGCTTGTCAACAAGCTAAGCCAAGATAAACAGGACTACTGCTGGGCTAAAATCACTGTGCCATGTCCTCCCGCTGACTGGAACGTCTCAGCACTAAACCGAGCAGCATTTCCTCAAACCGGAGTATTAAAACCGAGTCCACAGAGTCCACGACCGTAACAACCGCTTTATTCATTTCTGACATGATCAACTCAGACTGGTTTCTGTTCAAAGAGCAAATACTATCACGCTATCAAACAGGTAACGTTGGGTTAGCGGTCTTCTGTACACCAACAGCTAATAACTTACACTGGCTAGCGTTAGCAGTGTTAGCCAGAAAGGGATGACATTAATAATGAGTGTGATATTTCAGGAGCAGACTGACAGTGTGTTTATGAATAAGTCGGGATTTCACTCAAACCATCCCGCGGACGTCCGTGTTTGCGGTGTAGCGGCTGACCCGCTAACAGCCGAAGTTACCAGACTGCCAAAAAGGGACGTGTGGCTAATGCTAGCAGCTCTCAAAATATCAACTGACCTTCCCTGTTATAACAGCGAACACAAGTAACTGATCACTGTGAGCTTACCAGAACGCAGCACAACTTGTACTTTAATAACACAATGACAGTCTTGAAGGTAAGCATTACTGGCGCAAAAGCCAATGGCTGGGTTTGTGTTTATTTTGGTTACCTACCATTTTTACACCCGCTGTTTGCCCAGTTTGGTAGCCCCACTGTTGCTCAAAGTGCGCATGCGTATAGGAAGTAGCTAAACAGCTAGCAGTGGATTCTTAGAAAGATGGGCTTTGCAGCCTCTGTTACGGTGTTACCTGTCTTATTTGCAGGGTTGATTTAATTTAATATAAATTTCAGCTCAAAGTAGTAAAGTAATCGGTTACTGTATAAAAATTTGTCAAAACTTATTCTTTTTTATCACTGGAGGAACACTTATACCTGATGTTAGAGAAAAAGGACACAGTTTATTTCCCCAACATGTTTTAAACCAAAAATTCATTTTCAGGGAAAATGCTACTATTCCTACGGATAACAACAACAATAATAATATTAACACTACTGTTTTTTTTATTACATTTAGCTAAAACTGAACCGTTATTTCAAAATGGCACTAGATAAATGGTGTGAATTATTTAACATTGGGGCTGCAGTACAAAAGAGAACAAACAAATAAACAAGAAAAAATGGCACTGTGCTCTGTCAAACTCAAACTCAAGTTTTTATCCATTACACAAGAAAGCTAGAACATACAACAATATACTGTCACACTTGCTCACGCGTCTTGAGTGGAAATAGTTATTAATAATAATGATTACCAGTATTCCTATCCTGTTAAGATTAGGATTGTATTCCTATCCTCCCATTGGCTTCTCATCATATTTATGTAGCAGACTGTCCTCCCGCCCTCCGAAATGCACAACATACAAAAGTAAAGCATCCATCCGGCGACTTCCAGAGTTATAAACATTTCAAGCTGTTCAAGCACAATTTTCAGCTACAACGATGAAAGCTGGGGAATGGCTTATACCTGTTATACCTGGCTTAAAACCCCCCCTTCCCCCTTTTTTCTTTTAATGTTGTAAGGCCTTATTCATTTGTTTTCTGTGTTTGTGGAATATATCTTCTCATGTTAGATGCATATGATGTGTTTATAGTGTAATGATGATACTTAGATAATGCTTGGAATATCAACCTTAAAAATAGGCTTTCTCACTGTCAATAAACCATGTTTCAATGTGTGAGAGAAAGTGTGAATTTCAATTTATAATGTGGAAGCAAAAAACATGAAAGCATACCGCATGATGTAATATGTTAAAGAAGAACTGAATTACAGCTGCGAAATGTGCTGCAAGAAGGCTGGGCTGAGTTTTATCTTGTGAGAAAATGAATCCACCCTTCAACAAGTGTTAATGAGACAACATGCGCCTCCGATGCTGATAGAGTATCTCTGCATGTCAGCTTCCTTTTATATTGTTGTCATTTTACAGTGAAAGGGGCCAGAGCTAGACTAACTGGCAGGATGGAGTCTGTATTTGGCTTTTGCAGTGTCTCTCACATTCGCACACTTTGTGTTATACTTTAATTCAAATCATTTATTCAAATTATGCTAATACTTGTCTCTTCTTCCCCTGGGAAACCAGTAAATCTATAGAACTATTTTCCCTCATTAGCAAATGAATAAATTAGCAAATTAAAAATGTTTAGTGTTTACGTCTATAGAGGTTCTGTGAATGTTTGCCAAGAGATTTACATCTCAAGTTTCTTAATTTACCATATTCATACAACTTTCTGGATGTCAGTCACGTGAACAGAATGCTTTCAATAAATTGATGCTTTCTAGCTATACATATTTACACTTATATTACAAGTATATTAAAAAATACATATATAACATTACTTACAAGAAATTAACAATAAGTGGGGATTTAAGTGGAATCTTCCATAGTGGAGGGAAATGCATTTGCTGATGCAATGAGGTGCGACGTGAAAATAACTATGAGTGTAAGAGTGACCAATTTTTATTATGACATTTAAAGTAATAAGATTTATGTGCCAATGAGAAAAAAAGGGAATGTGGTTAACAGGTGGACATTTATGCAGCAGTTACAAAACTAACTTTGTCAACCCATGCAACACAACATTGTGGTGAGGAAATATACAATCAGTGTGGTTACTTCAAAGGTTACAAAAAGTTGGATTGGCTTTATTTGGTCAATTATCATTGTTCACATATACATACATATATATGGAAAATATAAATCAAGTTATTGACTGAAATACAGTATGTGACAGAAGATTTTTTTAAGAGAATGGACATTATAACTTAAAATTATGTGAATTTGAAATAAAAATGTGAAATAAACTCAGTCGGAGTTTAGCTGGATGAATATGCACTTTTATAAAAATATAGATCTTTGGAGCATGTGTGCATGTTTTAGGCTGATATACTCTGACCAGCTTAACATGTTTTTTCCTTTCATCATAATGAGAACAAATATACAATTTTTCCAAATTCAGCATTGAAGGGATGGAAAAAATGTGAAATGTATAATACAGGATGATGAAAAACAAACATAGTCCAACACCAGTATTCCACAATTCAATAAAGACTTCCACAGAAACAGGACAAATGTTTGTGTTGTGTCAGTTTCTGTTTGAGATAAACTGGTGAATGAAATATGAATACACACATACAGATACTCATGTATATCAATGCAACTAGACCCAACTTACCTGCGTTCACTGCTTGTCTCACGAACAGATAGAAACAAGAACTACTTGTCCTCCTCCTCCTGTGCAGTAGGCGGCGATGAACGTGTCCGCGCAGCTGACTGGTATCCACCAATCCCGGGAGAGGAAAATTGTGGGCATGATCGACTTTAATGCTTTGCTTTCGTCTCATCCACGCTGTCCAATCAGATCCCGCTGCAGCGAGACACCGCCAAGATCAGATTGTGAGACGGGGCTTCTGTAGCAAGGCTAGCAGGGAGAGTGCACAGAAAGCTAGCTGACAATTTGCTAACTTGTGAAGTGCACCGGTAAGCTGCATTTACTAACTTGCGGGTCGCAACCCGGCGGCCACAGATGAACACTCGAACATAAATGTTTTAACGGTGCGTATGTTTTAAATGACACGAATATATTCAGTTCGCATATATATAAAAAAAGCAACTTACCACGGAGAACTTGCAGCTAATTCTGGCAGTGTTCTCGGTGACAGCTGGGGCTTTGCTCGGCCGTTAGCAAGTAGGCTAACAAAGCACCGGAGGTCACAGTTTCTCAACCGCATTAAGAGTTAGCCTTTAGCTAAAATACCCAGTCGCTAATGAGCAAAGTACTGGTCGTTCATTATGTTTGCAATAAATCTGCCACGTTTATGAACTTATATGAAGTAAATGAAAGCAGCGTTAAATTAGGACTCATTTAACAGTCCGCGTAAATTAGGACTAAATTTGATACATTGATGTTAAGCTGTGCCCCACGGAGCGTTTCTGTTGGGCCGAAACGTCATGAAAACATACGTTTGAAAGTTTAACACATCCGGGCAGAGACGTTTTCCATAGTCGTACAGTTTTTCTTGAACTCAAAGAGCAGGACTGTTTTCATTTTCATACACAGAAAGCTCTATAACTTCGAATACATTTTCGATAAAAACTGAACAGGAACTTCAGAACTGCAGGCTCACAATAATTGATCGTGTAGGTTTGTTTTTGTCGGATGGGGAGCTGACGCCGGGGTCCCTCCCCGGCATTTAAAACGCACTCTTAGAACATTAAATGTTAAACACTTATTTGTTAGGAACGAGGTGAGGTTGTCGTTAATTATTGTATGTTGTGAAAACACCGCAAGTGCCTTGCAGGTTGTTTAAAACCCAGCTCGTTTATTTACTTGTCATTACCGACATGGAAAAACTACTTTCTTTAACCAAACATTTTGGCACCGAAGTGACCCTCTGAATCTGGGAGAATTTCATAAGTAACTATGGCTTGATGAATGATTTATTTTAACATTTTATTTCAGTCCCAACAGAGATGGAGGTTTTGGTTTCGGTATGCATCATATGATTTGGTTAAAAAATATCGGCATTGGTTCTGGGTCATAAGTCCATGTCAGTACAACATTTTCTGTTTCTATACTGACCTTTTGATGCCATACTCGACCGACAGGAGAATCCTGGCATCACTAACTGCATAGCGCCAAAAACAGACTCGATGGGAAAAACAAACCCTAGAGCAAAACCAAAGCCGATTAAATATTTTAATGTTGCGGTTTACTAAAATAGCCGATTGAAAATAAATCGACATTTCTTAGTTTGTTTCCTGTTTAGTGGGGATTTAGACCTCCTCTTCCTCCATACTCAAATGCCAACAACAACAGCCGTCGAAGAGACAAGAGAGTGCACTCGTAAGTGCACAGATTGCCCACATTAACTCCACATTCCGTGCGAAAGGCGCACCCCTTCTGAAACATGTCAAGCCATCCTTTTCAGAGGCTACAATCTGCAGCGTGGAATCGGAAATCGCTCTGTTTTGTGTGAATTGTCTCAAAACGTGCACAAGCTAACTAGTGAGCTAACGCCAGCAAGCTGAACCCAACGCTAGCTGCTAGCAGGCACAGTTAGCTAGCAGCAGTCAACAAAAGATTATTCATTGCTCCCCTCTTCTGAAGCGGGTGGCGGGTCTGTCGCAGGCAGCCGGGCTGTCTGTAGAAATGTGGAGCTATCGCTGAAGTCCCTCTGACAGTTTGGGGCTGTTTGTGACTAAGTTGGGATGTTTGCGTGACCTGTAGCAGAAGTTGGACGATGCCTCTCCTCCGGACGTGCTTGGTACCTGAAGTAGGCCCTGTGCACACTTAGCGTCGTAAAAGTTGTGAGCATCAAGGGGTGGTTTGATATTGGTTTATGTGTAGATGGGGCTCTCAGAGAGGCTCCTCGAAGGCTCGCAGAATTCAGATTTGTATAAAACGCGCTCATTTCCCCATGGTCTGAATGAGGTGAGAATAAAAGTGGAGCTAGCGTTTGGGATGTAGTTAGCCATCCACATTGTGCTCTTAGCAAGCACTTCACATGGGCCTTACTTCAGAAAGAAGTTAAAAATATACACCTGAAACAAGGCAAAATATACCTGGTCCCGGAATGAATGTTGGAAAATAGTATATATGGACAAGAGCAGCTTTTTTAGGGTGGTTTCTCATAGTTTGTTTCCTTTTTATTTTCAGGTGTCTGAATATTGACTGCCAGAGAAACATCTTTTTAGCTTGCAACAACCTCCTTTCGGTCCTTTGGGATCATGGCTAAAGATGTAAGTATCTATATCAACAGAGTTATTGAAATTATAAAGCCAAAAACCTGCCAACTTGCAGATGTGGCACAAAATTCTGCTACCCATCAGATCATGTTACCTGTGCATATTTTTAGCTCCTGCACTGCCTCTGTTGAAGTGCTTGTTACACTTCTTTCTATGAATTTGGCTGAATATGGTGCGATTGTAGCATTTACAGAGGCTCCCAACTTTAATTTTTCTTTGGTTTGAGATACTTGTGCCTCATCAGATACAGTGCCACACCAAATTATTTTTAGGAATGTTGATCAGATATTGTGAGATGGTTTGTAAGGTGTGTAAGACATAGGGACACACCTCTTTATTTCTATTAAAACTCTGGTATTGCAACCTATTATACTATATTACTGGGTAACGACGTCTATAGTTGATTGTACTTATGTCAATTCCTATGCTTATAAAGTCTCTTACTTGATGAGCCCGTATCTGTTTTTTTCTGGTATTAAAGTTGTCAAACCTGATTAATTTATCTTAGGTCTATTTGATTTTGTAATAATAATGTGTCATTTTTCACAGGCTGGTCCGATAGAAACAAATGGAGAGCTAAAGGTTTTCATCGATCAGAATCTCAGCCCTAGCAAAGGTAAACCTTAAATATTCCAATCGATGATGCACAGATATAGAGCTCTGTGAACTCCCTAAAACATTCGGGTTTTGACCGTCTAATCCCACAAAGGAAATTTGTTTTCAGGAGTAGGCCTCAGTGTGTGAAAGCAAACGATAGGGGGCAATGGAGCTCCAGCCAAGAGCCGCTCTCATAACTGGCCTTCTCATGTCTTCTACCAGGTGTCCTGTCCTTGGTTACTGTCCAGCCCACAGTAGCGCCTGTAGCCAAACAGCTACTACCCAAAACCCTCGGGCCATCTAATGTGAATGTTGCAGCACACATGCAACATGTACCTCACATGGTGAGTTCATGATCCCATGACAATTTCAGGCTCCCGTGTTCTTTTAGCCAGTTAAAAAGAGAAAGGATGTATAGAATATTTTTCGCTCAGATTAAAGACAGGGTTTCTTAATCGTTAATGCCCTCCATGCATGTGTATAGTTTTGTTGGCTGTTCTTCTGAGCCCTGTCTTACTGTTGTGTAAGCCCCTCCATTATCATTGTGAGGTGACCGGGCCGAGGGGTAGGTGGAGGCAGTTGATCCTAAGCTTATCAACTCTACAGTCAGCAGGATTACACCCATCATCTCATTATGTACAAGCAATGTATACACAACGGAAATCAGCTTACATATCACCTTAGTGAAGGAATAGATCACCTATCCACAGGCTGCCTCATATCATTATTAGGGGGGCAGTTATGTAGTTCTAGCTTTCATCTCCAGCGGCCAAGTGTTGTAAAAACAAAAAAAGAAAGAAAAAAACTTTAGGTTGATGTTATGGGCAATAATTGTTATTAATCTGGTCTACCTTGTCTGCGTTGAACAAAAGATGTAGTGAATTCCAAATATAAAGCAGAACATTTTCAGTATTGACGGCAAGAGGCTGAATGTATAGTTGGATAGCAACGCAGCCCCTGACCCATCTGTGCTCACTGTGCTGTGGCTCATTGCTGGACCTTCTGTATATCCCAGAATACACTGCCAAGAAAGTGATACATGTAGCAGCAATGGCACGAGGCCACCTGGCATGCTGCCGCACCTGTAGAACGAAGCAGTCTGTAAATGAATGAGGTTAACGGGTAAAATGGACCAAGTTCGTCTGATTAGTAGCTGTCAGCAGTCTGTTCTCATCACACCAGTCCTCTTTAGTCCCAGATCCGTGTTGGTGATCTCCTGCCATTAAACACCATTCATGTTTATAGTATTTGCTTGAGAGAAAGTACTAATCTCATCACAGAATCTCCTTTTCTCCCCTTGGTAGGTAATTGGAACACCACAAAGGCCTACAGTATCAAACACAATTTTGGTGAACAGCCCACACACACCCAGCTCCCAGTTCCTTACGCAGAGTCAGCCAGCAGACGCCTCTCCTTGGTCTTCAGGGTAAGCCCTAAAAAAAGTGTGGGACAACTTCACAAATCTGATATGAAATAATGTTAGAATATCATTAGATTTATGTTGCTCTAATACATGGCAAGTGACAACATTCCACATCGAAACTATTTGAAAAAGTGCTGATTTGCGGTGGTCTTCTGTGCTTCAGAAAGCGTGGGAAGAAAGGGGAAAAGAATGGGAAAGGTCTGAGGCATTTCTCCATGAAAGTGTGCGAGAAGGTGCAGAAGAAAGGAGTGACCACCTACAACGAGGTGGCCGATGAACTGGTGGCCGAATTCAGCTCTGCAGACAACCACATGTCACCTAATGACTCAGTGAGTCCCGCAGTTATAAACGCATTTATCTGCCAATCCTTATTCAGTCGGAACGTTTGGCTCCTATTTTGAATCCTCTCTCCCGTCCCCAGCATGTGTACGACCAGAAGAACATTAGACGGCGCGTTTATGATGCGCTCAACGTGCTCATGGCCATGAACATTATCTCAAAAGAGAAAAAGGAAATCAAGTGGATCGGCCTGCCCACCAACTCTGCACAGGAGTGCCAAAATCTAGAGGTAGAAACACATCAAGATTTAAACCGCATAGATGTTTTTGGTCTTATTTTGCCTAACTTGAGTATGAATAATTTTTTCATCTTTAGGTGGAGAGACAAAGACGGCTGGAGAGAATTAAGCAGAAACAATCACAGCTTCAGGAGCTCATACTGCAGGTGGGAATTAACAAAGTGTCAGTCCTTGTGTACTGGATGGGAAATGTGGCTTTGGTAGTTTTTCAGCGAGCCCCCGGGGGTTCAGCTACCTCCTCAAAACTTCCCCTCGTCTACTATCTGCCGATTTGGCTATGTTTCAGTTTTGTTTCTGGATTTTGTTTCAGGAAAAAGAGATGAATGCATTCATGTTTAATGAAACTTAACCCGTTGTCATCCTTCTTTGGTGTTGCCTTACAGCAAATAGCTTTTAAGAACCTTGTCCAGAGGAACAGACAGACAGAGCAGCAGGCTAACAGACCTCCACCTCCAAACTCCATCATCCACCTCCCCTTCATTATCGTCAACACCAGCAAGAAGACCGTCATCGACTGCAGCATCTCCAACGACAAGTACGGCGCCAGCTGCTCCGTCACAGGAAGAACTGCCTCCCTGAGGCTCCGCTCTGTTTCTGCCACTCACCACTTGTCCCCTTTTCTCATCGGCAGGTTCGAGTATTTGTTTAATTTCGACAGCATGTTTGAGATCCATGACGACATCGAGGTGCTGAAACGCATGGGTATGGCCTGTGGTCTGGAGGTAGGCAAGTGTTCTCCAGAGGATCTCAAAGTCGCTCGCAGTCTGGTGCCTAAAGCTCTGGAGCCTTACGTTATAGGTAAGAGCCACTGTAGATCCTCCTGTCCACTTTTCCTCAATCTGCAGAAGTTTAGAGTCCATCCGTTTACAGTAGTAAAGTAGTTCTTAAATAGCCTTTTTTGTTATAATTTGTTTGTAGATTATTATTGTCAGGGACTCCTCTCCTATGCTTCTTACCATAACACGTTAGAAAATCTATTAGGAAATAGTTGAGGCTTTTCCTAGCTCTCAATGTGATTTTCACATCAAAAACAAGGAGAGTGGGTATGTTCAGGGATCAAAACGTGTTGTCTGTTCTTCCAGAGATGGCAAAAGGCCCCATCAGTAATGTTTACATCACCGGAGGATCCTCTGCCAATGGGGCCCGCTACCCTGCAAGCAGGTGGGAGCTTTTAACTCAAATTCCTCACATATCAGACGTCACCTCGCGTGCCGTCCATACTGTTCCCCCCTGAACCCGGTCTAACTCTGCTGACCCCGTCCCATCCGCAGTGACGGCTGCACCGACGGCACCATGGCCTCCAGCTCCAATGACTCTCACTACAGCGGGTCTCGCGTGGAGACCCCAGTGTCTTACATGGGGGACGACGACGACGAGGACGAGTACGACGAGAACGATGACGACGACTAACCCCCCCCACAGCTCACCCACTCCAACAAGCACAGTCCCTCAAACTGCAGCCGCCGTGGGGGGCCGGTCCCTGGTCATGCGTGCTCCTCGAACCCCTCTCCCAAGTCTCCCATGCCTGTTTCTGCCTGGCTTTCTCAGGGGTGTAGATGAAAAAAGAAAGAGCAGAAGTGTGTTTTTTTTTTTTCTTTCTTCCTTTTTTTTTAACCCGTCTCGTTCTCCTTCTGTATCACGTGCACCTCCACTGCTGGGGGAGAGGGCCGCGTGTCATCCAAGGGATCTGTAGTGCGTGACTCTGCCACCTGTCTTTGTGTGTCCAATCCACTTTTGAACAAGCCATCCCACCATAAAAACTCTGTATAAAAAACAAAAACAAAAAAACAACAAAAACACACCTCCGTTTGAGAATGTAAAATATACCTTTTTGAAAAGTTATTTTGCAGTTACCTTCGGCAGATCGACATTATGATCACATGTTCCAAATGTGACTGCTTCTTCCTGCTGTGTTAGTATCACCATGAATTCTGAGCTGCCCGATGCAGTTTCCACGCTTTCCCAGGATGGGGCTCCATCCCACATGTCCATACTTAAATGTGTTGTGTTCTCAGCAATGATTTGAGATAGTTTTGCATCCCCATTGTTTTGGGTTGACTTCCTTCTGTTCTTTAGGCAGCTGCTTTCTGATCTTGTTTGCTAGTTTGGTTTCTTTTTTTCTTTTCTTTTCATTTTTTTTTTTTTGTATTGTGGAGTTGAGGAATTCTCCGTCACCGCCCTGTTAACGCCTCAGTAGTGTTAACAAAATAATGGCAGCAGCAAGGCAAAGACTCATAACCCTGGCTCCTGATAGGTAAATAAGCTTTGTTTGTTAATTACGTATATAAACCCTACAACAGTTGTAGCTTATAGTATCTTATAGAGGCCAGTGCTAAAATATAGACCTTCAAAAATTATTGATGTAACACGATGTGTGGTTGTATAGGTCTTTGTGTTCAAAGATCTCCCTTTTAAAACTGTGCAACACATGTACTGACTTCCAAAAAACTTTTCTGTAATCTAATATAAGTTTGCAAATTAAAATATAGATTGTTTTAATAACTTTGTATCTACGATTTATGTGAATTTTTTAAAAGTTTTTTTTTTTATTGATGAATAATAGGCCTTGGTTTTTAAGTAAAACCAAAAAAAAATTGATGCTCCATATTCCTCTATATGAGTAATTTAAGCAACTCGGGCACATTGGAATGAAATGGAACCTCCGCTCAGACTTTTTGCACCAGGCGGCTATTATCAGTGCAAAGCGAGATCCCTTCAAGATACTCGACAGGAAGTCCAGGCATGGATTTGTCAAACCATAGCCGTCTAAATTCTCATGTACGATTTTCATCTGCGTTGTCCTCTTTTTGAATCAATCTAAATGCAGTTGTGGATTTAAAAAAAAAAAGTATTTTACGGAGAGCCAAACTTTGGGAAAGTGAGGTCTTCAGTCTGAGACGTGTTTTCAGGGATGAGTTAGGGATATAAATATGTGCCTTTGTATGCACATGAACTATGCGAGCAGTCTATTCCACAAAGGGTTTTAGATTAATGATTTATGTTGAGAACTCATGTTACTCTGAGTATCCTAAAATAATTGATTCAGTTTTATCCTTGACTCAAAAGTAAAGAATACTTTTAGTTCATGTTTAAGTTGCAGTCAAGAGATGTCATTAAAGTACCCCGAGTTGGTTTTAGTTATTAGTTGAAAAGACTGCAAGACAGGTTGCAACAATGTTTGGTCCAAGTGTCAAAAACAGTACAAGCATTAAAAGGATGATTTGCAGACAATCTAGACCTCTATTTTTTTGTATTGGGCTTAATATTAAGAAATTCTGCTGTTTGAGAAGAGAAAACATACTTATTGAGCCAGGCCTAAGAACCTGTTTGGGTACACAGGAGCATCTTACTGCGGCTTCCAAGAGTGTGTATGCATGTACAAAAGTGTAAATGCTGTTCACTTTATTCTGCAAAACTCTTCCAAACCACATTCTGCTCATGTTGCATTAAAAATCGGGCTGCTAATGCAGCCTTACTGCAATTGAGATGTGTCCCCTATGGAGAATACCTAAAAAAAAAGAAAAAAAGATAAAGAACAGCTTTACAGTTGATATTTTACTCAAAACTACAGAGAGGGAAGATGCCAAACACAAAGAAGAGCAACAGGTGGAAAAGAGATTCCCATTGCTGCCATCAAATCTAAGGGTTTACATTCATTTGCTATGAGACGTTTGATATATTCTACTTTACTTTCTTGTCTGAATATAAATATATACAAGTGAAAAGCATTCCAAAATAATGCAGACTTGTCAGTGTGTGTAAAATATTTGCATTTGTCCAAAGTTCAGCCCCAGATGGAGGACAGAGGGACTGTAATGTGCCGGCTGAATGAATAGCAACTCTCTTGAGTTGTTCTGTTCCAACATGTGCTTGCACACTTTGTCTGGGGCAATGGGGTGTTAATGGATTACAGAAAGGTGTTGACTCAGGTGTGTGTGCGATCCTGTGTGTGCGTGTGTGTGAATGAGGGTGGTACAGCCCTCAAAGCGTGCTGCGGTTTAGTTCAGACACCAGTCTCGAGCTGAAATTTCTCCTTCAACCTCTGTCTGTCCCTCCTCTGTGATCTGCCTCCTGTTTTCTGATTCTGACTTTCTCTTTCTTCCTCACTCTCTGCTGCGCATAAACCAGCAGCAATTCCAACCTGCTTGTGCCGTTTTATTTGCAATGCTCTCCCTCTGCATTGCCTAACAGTCACATAGCCACAGCATGGATATTGGAGGACTTACCACTGTAGTAGCAAATTCTGCTTACATCAATGCCCGTGGAAGCATTGATGGCTCCAACCCCACCGCGGCTCGGGATAAGAAGTACCACGCTCGCCTCAAACTGCCCCACATCACCGTCTGCGAGGGCTTGAGGGACACCCTAGATTTGGCTTTCGACACAGTCTGCGTGGAGCAGCCCATCGGCAAACGCCTCTTTAGGGAATTTTTGGATGCAAACCAAGAGTATCATGGGTCTTGTCGTTTGTGGAAAGACATCGAGGACTACGACCTGGCGGAGGACTCGGAGAGGGCAAAGAAAGCCTCAAAGATTGCTTCACGGTACATGGACGCATCTGCCAAACACTACTGCCCATACCTGCCTGAGGAAACCATAGCGAAGGTGAAGGAGAAAATGGAGGCGGTGGGGGATGACTTGTTTGTGGACGCGTTGGCCAAAACACTGGACTACCTGAGAGAGGCCCCCTACACCTTCTTCCTGGAAAGCATGTATCTGAAGAGGTATCTGCAGTGGAAGTGGCTGGAGATGCAGCCCATGGATGCAGACTGGTTCCTGGACTTCCGTGTGCTGGGGAAAGGTGGGTTTGGGGAGGTCTCTGCCTGTCAGACGAAAGCCACAGGAAAACTGTATGCCTGCAAGAAACTCAACAAGAAGAGGCTGAAGAAGAGGAAAGGCTATGAGGTGAATGGGCTGCCTCGAGCAGATGCTCCACTGTTTCTTATCCTGTGTCTTTTGCACCACTTTGTCTCAGTGACTGCATAACTTTACCTTTAGGGAGATGACAATGTAGCCACATACAAGGGATTTGTTACGAATACCTTCAAAATTGGACTTTGACTATCCCTTTGGACTGTCGGTTGCCTCAGACTAAATTCAAATGTTTCATCTTCTGTTACTTTGATAATCTGTGAGAGAGAGTGACCAGGAACAGAACTATGTAGCATTGGTGAATGGCCAAACGGGACATGTGGATTTCTGCTGTTTAGGTTTCAGCTGGACTGCAATAGATGTACAATTAGAACCATGTGAGCATTCTTTAGGAGATGTTCCTGCTCCTGTACTTAATGTACACCAACATGGAGGTTCTGAACAAGCAGTTACCTGGTTCCTTTAGGGACTTTTTCACTACGGGGTGTTTTGAGTGATAAAGCTACTCTGCTGGCTTGTTGCATTAAAGAAAGTGTTCTGCGCTGAGCAGGCTGCAGTGGTGCTAATCATCTTTGTCCCTGCCTCTGTCTCGTTTGGCTTTATCCTGCAGTATTAAACACTGAGACAGGGATAGAGTGATTACAGGGAGCTTTAGTGGAAAGCCCTTCAGAAGGGAACTCCTTGGCACAGTTATATCTTGCCCTTGACTTGGCCGAGGTCATATCCCTAAAACGTACCTTCACCTCTTTTCCACACGACCTGAACCCGACCCTAACCCCCTGAAAGAGACCTTCACGTAGTTTCCCTCCGAAAATGTCAGCCGTAACCATGTTCAACCACTGTCTTTCCTGATTTCTTCCTGTAGGGGGCGATGGTGGAGAAGCGCATCCTTGAGAAGGTCCACAGTCGCTTCATTGTGTCACTGGCGTATGCTTTTCAGACAAAGGAAGAGCTTTGTCTGGTCATGACCATCATGAATGGAGGAGACCTCAAGTAATATCACAGTCTGAAAACTTTGACTTGTTATTATCATTGGGCACATTTTCTTTGACAGTTGGTACTATGCTGTTCCTTCTGTTGTATCTTTGAAATCTGGGCGGATGGAACCTGTAGACAAGTATAAGGGTATTTGATTTGACCCCCAAGTAGGCTGTGACCACAACTTGGAGTCAATTTATCAGTCACTTGGACGTGTCACAATTCATCCTTGATAATAGCAACATATTATAGCAATAAAGTGGGACAAAAGTGCATAGAAGCACTTGCTTGTCATTCACTCCTCAGTAACATTAACCAGAAATTCATATGTACACAGAATCAGTTAATTTAAATAGTATTACCCCAAAATTCTGCATGAACATGTTATAAACCATGCATTTTTGAGGTAGAGAGTTATTACTCCATACCACAAGTTCACCAACTGTAAGTCACAATGTAAGGCAAAGTTCATAGTCGGTTATAGAATCAAACACAACAAAAAGTCCCTATTGTTGTAAAGTTAGACGTTTGCAGTCAGGGCCAGAAATGGCAAAATTCTATCTAATGTACCATCCTTCCAAGAAATAAATGATAATGATAATAGAAGTTTTTCATTCCTGTTACACATGACGTAGCCAAAGCTCACCGGTTCTCTGTTCCCTAAAGGTATCACGTCTACCTGGTGGACGAGAACAACCCTGGCTTTGATGAGCCCAGAGCCTGTTTTTACATCGCTCAGATCATCCAGGGCTTGGAGCATCTCCACCAGAAAAGAATCATCTACCGCGATCTCAAACCGGAGAACGTGCTGCTCGACAACGACGGTGATCACTTTTAGGAGAACCCGGGCGCCCGGGTCTTTGCCCGCTTTTGACTGATGGCTGGCTGACATGTTTTTTGCTCATCAAAACAGGCAACGTGCGTATCTCTGACTTGGGTCTTGCTGTGGAGCTGAAAGAAGGCAAAACAATGACTAAAGGCTATGCGGGGACACCAGGTGGGTCTCCTGTTTGCTGAAATCGCAGGGAGAAGATTCACGCTTCCAGGATTTGCGTTGCAGTCTTAATTTCTAAAATAATTGTTTGCTAACTTTTTTCCCCTTGAAGGATACATGGCTCCTGAGATGCTGAAAGGAGAGAAATACGACACTTCAGTGGACTACTTTACCTTGGGGGTGACTTTGTTTGAGTTCATTTCTGCAAAGAATCCCTTCAGAAACAGGGGAGAGAAGGTCAGTTGTTGGAGCAGAACGCGTCGGCCTTTGACCGGCTTCATGGAATAACCGAGAGGCTGACTGTCCTGTGCTCAGGTTGAACGCGAAGAGATGAAGGAGCGCATGCTGACCCGGGATGTGGCCTACCCGGACAACTTCAGCGAGCACGCCAAGTCCCTGTGCGAGGGGCTGCTGGCCAGAGAGGTGGACAAGCGGATGGGTTTCAAGAATAACTGCTGCGATGAGATCCGAGCGCACCCATTTTTTAAAGACATCAACTGGCGGAAGCTGAACGCAGGTACCACCTGGTCTCCCTGCTTTTGAAGTTTGAGCATCGTCTGGGCCGCTGCAGCAGTTTGACGCAGTTCTAGATCTCAAATCTCTCCCTCTCTTCTCTCTCAGGTATACTACCTCCTCCTTTTGTCCCCGACCCCAAAGTGGTGTACGCTAAGAGTCTGGATGACGTCGGGGCGTTCTCCTCGGTGAAGGGGGTCAACTTGGAGGATCCCGATAAGACCTTTTTTGACGAGTTTTCCTCGGGCAACATCCCCATCCCTTGGCAGGAGGAGATGATCGACATGGGCATTTACGGAGAGCTTAACCTCTGGGGCCCTGACGGCACCATCCCCAACGACCTCCGCAGAGAGTCCATCCTAGAGCAGCCGAAGTCATCCACATGCTGCGTATCGTAAAACCACCGAGACAAACCTGAAAATACCCAAACCGTACGGCGTACAGACTTATGTTCCTAGAAAAAGCGGCATGAAGACTGAGCCTCGGGACTTTCTGACCGCAGATCGAAACAATGTGAGACGCAGTTTTACGCACACAGGAAACAACAGGAACAGAGAGGAGGTGGATTTTCAACCGGAAGTGGACTCAGTAATAGCTTTAGGTGTTAAAGAAAAGCCTATCATTATATCCTCAACTTCTCTCCTTCTCGCTCACCCTCCATCTTCTCCTTTTCTGTCAGCCTGCTCACTAACCCCCCTTTTTTTGTTTGCATCTGCTGAATTATTGCAGTGCTTTTAGATCTAAAAAAATCCACATAAAAAACAAAGTTTTGAGCAAGGGTTTAGCGGCACGGCATCTGGTGCTGACAGGGACATGTTAATCATGTAATTTTATTTGCCTCAACTGCATGTATGCTGCTATAGAATGTATGCCATTTCATTTTTTTCTTTAGTAATTGTTCTTAACAGTTGTGGGATAACTGAAAACTCACGAGACACATGGAAAAAAGTATTATCTCGGGAATATTTGGAGAACGGTTAATTGAAATAGATTTAAAGTTTTTGGTTAACTCTTTTTTTGAATAATCAGAGGCACCTTTGGTAAATATTTGTATAGTCTAGTTATTCTGAGGCGAATAAGAACATAGGAGACACGTTTAAAGCAAAGTGGTTTTATTCTAAAAATAAAACAGACAAAAAAACGCTGTGGAGCAAACACTGCATGAATTTATATATATATATATATAAATTGTTTTAAAAAGGCACTGGCAAATAAAATTGCTTATTCATATGGAAACTTGTGTCAGAAAATCCATTTGTCCAGGACCGTCCCGTCACTCCTTGGCTGTGGCCTTGTATATCCTCACCCCCTGTTGTGGCAGCTCTGTGAGCAGCACGGTGTTAAAACTGCTCCTGAAGCCCTCTGTGAACCTCAGGTCGGACTGGAACCGGATCTTGTTGGCCCACAGAATCGTGGTCCCGCTTCCCGGCCGGCAGAAGTGGCGCATGGTGTCCAGCAGCTCGTCCAGGAACTGGTGGTGATAGACCACGTCGGCTGCCAGCACGTAGCTGTAGTGGAAGGAAGGGCAGGGGAAGTCCCGGTCCAGGTCCTGACCCCAGGAGAGGGCAGCCACCTGGGGGGCGTAGCGGGAGCGGCCCCTCGTGTTCTGCCTGATGTTGAAGGTCAGATTGGACAGTACGTCTGGGAGGTCAGTTGCGGTCACCCAAGCGCCTGGTGGGAAAGTTCAGGGGAGACATAAAAAGAAGGTTTTGTGACTTCTTTTGGTGACTGTGATGTTCTAAAATCAAAGGTACCTACAGTGGAGGAGAGGATAGGGGAGATCATTTTGGAGCTTTTGTGCATAGCTGCATAGATTCCAATAAGTTTATCGGTACAGGAGTCCTAGAGCTCACTTTGTGGAAGATTTTAGCGCTTGTGCTTGTTTCCATAAAGTCTGAATAATTTACATTTTTTCAGGAGAAGAACATACAATTAAATGGTGAACAAATAGGCAGCTTTCTACAGTTAGGAGGTGGGGTGAGGAGGGGATTTGTCCAACCAGTTTGCTGTCGTAGAACCGGCTGGTTTGCATTGCAAAACATTTGGATGTGGGTGGATTTGACTTATTCTCTAACAATGACTCCCTGTGTTTTTAGTGACATCTTGACTATCATGACCATGATATAACTAAACCTGGGCTAAATCTGAGCCCGATTTCACCGGGTTGAAATGTCATTCAACAGAAAAATTCTTGTTAGACGCCATAAAATACATTGCACATTATGCATCCAACTTGTACGGCATTCCCTTTTGCACAGACTTCAAAGAACGAATAAGGGACTTTTACTCAACACAATCCATTCAGTTTTAAACGGACATCGGGAAGACACACTTACCAAGCAGACTGGCCACTATAGAGAGTAATCCAGTCCCAGCTCCAATCTCAATCACGGCTTTGTCCATCAGGTTCATTTGCTGCTGGTTGTTCTCCAAGAACTCACACAAAGCTATCGCCTTTAAGACAGAGGGAATTCTCAGTGTTGCATCTGCGTGAACGACTGAATGTGCAGCGGTTTCAAAGCTGGCGAGGCATACCCCAGGCCAGATCAGGGCGCCGAACGTATCCATAGACTCGCGGATGCTTATGTCGTGACCAGCAAAATGAAAAGACTCCTTTCCCAGGCTGTAGTAAAAACTGGGCTCCCAGATGTTCCTCCTGTCTTGGGCCTCTCCCGCCATCACTTGTTCGTCTGTCAAAGCTGCACAGGATAGTTCTAATTGTGCTCATTTTTGTTGGAGATGTCCCAACGAGACACTATCTGTACGATTGTATCGCATGCCAATTATTTTGAAAGGACTTTTTGGACTGAATTAAAGTTTACCCTCATCTGAGGTCCCTTCTACCGCTTGTGTTTCCCCATCCTGCTTCATGTCCTTGCTCTCTTTCTGCCTTCCAGGAAGCTCCAGTCCAACGGCCGGGCAGACAGAGGATGATTGCTCCATGAACACTAAAAATTGTTATGATATGAAGACTTTAGAGGTAAGCAAACACATCGCAATGCATCTGATGCATTGATGCATCTTAGAGATCTAAGATTCAGCAGCCTGAGCTATGAACTTTTTTTACTAACACTTAAACCATAAACTGAGAGGGAAAAGATAATAGTATTAATATTTTTTTTATAAAACACTGCAAAACCATGTGAGACCAATGAAATTGAAAGAAAGCATTTAACATATACAAAAACAACATCAAGGCCACAGACCTGAATGTAAAGATCCAGTGAAATGTCGTCATTCTTTACCTCTAAAAAGCTTAATACCATTTTACCATCACAAATACTAATACTATCACTAATAGCAACCAAGCCTCTGATATAAAAGTCTAGTCCTGCTCCAAACTCATCACATAATGATGGAAAAAACTATGCACAGGGATTTGCGCCAAATGGGATTTTTTTCTTAATATTCTTCAACCTACAAAAAATCTGAAAGTGGCCAACATATTAACCTGACTAAAGTGCATACATATCTAAAGATCTATTTTCTGCTCAAGCAAATTGAATGCTTTCTAAGATAGATCAATCGTACATCTGTCATTTTCTCCAAGGGTCATGATAGTTAGAGGTGATGAATTACTCAAAAACACGTGCATGATTCCAGATTCCAGAAAAGACCGTCTGGCTCGGTTAAAGTTGTTAGTTTGGTTTAAAACACGAAGAGCAAAGCAATCTTTGCCATAAAAACTTACCTGTTGGAATCTGTGAGCTTATCTTTTGTGTGCAGCACTGACTGTTATGTACTTGCGTTTATATGACAGCATCATCTGTGACCCGCCCCGCAGCGGAGCGGGGGTCTCTGGTGGCCAGAGCTGAGGCAGAAGCAAAATAAAAGATTTACTATAATCTCTGACAGACAAAGAGTCACAATCCCGACCCCTCCCAGAGCTCTGCCATCAACTGCTGCTGGATATTCTGCATGTTCTGTTCACTGCAGGGGCAGCTAAATATACATTTAATGTGTTCTGATGAGATCTTCTCATTCCTCTCTTAAGCTTCCATCTCTTTTTTTCCCTCATTTATCATTGATCATTTTTTGGTATTCATCATCCTGTATTTCTTTCCTTTTTAATCTCTAAAATGTCTCAGCTCACCTTTCTGAGGCTGCATATGGTGCATTTTTAGATTCGATAAAAACATCCAGAGCTACTTCACAGATGACTGATTTTTCTTACCATTTCATGTTTTCTGCATTTTTTTAGAACTTTTTATTTATTGCGATCAGGTTTTTGCTGTTGTTGTTTTTATAAGGGGCTTGAGGTATTTTTTAAATCATTAACTCTTTATTTGTTTTTTTATTACAATTTCTTCTATATGTGAGAATAGCTGAACACAGGAACAAATCATAAATGGTAAGATGTTCTAAAATCTATTTGGTTTGAACCCATACACACAAGTGCTATCCATCATTTTCTTTCTGATCCAGCTTAGATGGTGGGGTGTTTTTTAGAACCTGAGTATAACTAGTGGCATTTGGAAAACACCATAAAGGCTTTTCCTGCACAACAGTTAAAGCTCCATTTGTTCACGCAGCATTCCATTTCTTTTACTGGGGCATAGAGATTTGTGCTGGTATGAATCTGCCTCTAAGACGCTCTGGTTTAAACATAGTTGGGATGGCTTTCAGAGGCCACTCTATCAGGCAAATTTCCCAACTGAAAGTACACACAGCTGCATGTGTGTAAGCAAAGCTGATGGCTTTAAGGTGGGGAGATTCACAGCTCTGGTGAACGGGGTTGAACACACACACACACACCTACACACACACACACACACAGGTGCCAGCAGACAGATGGTTGTGTTGCATGAAGTTGGAAAATGGCTCGAGGTGATGGATGGCTGGGAGCAGCACTGAGTCACTCAGTCCAAAACAGCAACAGCAATAATCAGTTAAGGTGATGGGGATTTCCATCCAAACAGAAAAGCTTGATATAAACTGGATCAACCATCCTCCTTTATTCCAAACGTTTATCCCTGCTGATAAAATTCAACTTATAGAAATGACTCAAGATGAGGACAGACCAGATGTGATGATGGACATATGACTATGATGCACAATGTAAAGCAAAAAAAAAAAACCCCAAAAACGTAAATTATGCCTAATATTTTACATAACAGGCTGGAGATGCACATTCATCTGTGATCTCTTAATTCCAGCAGAAGTCACTGAGCATGGCGGCTGAACAACAGGCGGCCTGGAAAGAGCTCATGTGCCCATAACGGGGCCTCCCAAACAATGGCTCATTTAAGGCCTCATCATTTGAATATTGAGAGTAGTGAATGAGAAGGATGGTTGTGGATGGATGCATAGGTGTTACAGTCAGCAAATACAGCAGAGGGATAAAGACCTTAGAGTGGTAAGCCTCACCTGCACGTCCAAAGGTCAGGAAAAGATTGTGTATAGGTCAGTGGAAAATGAGTCATACTCACACACAGCAACATGTGAGCTGCCACGGACTTACAGAAGTGCCATGTGCAGGCCGGGGGCTGCTGGTGTTGGGGGATGTTTATATTGCTAAATGACTGCTAAGCTCTTGTAATTTTGAAGAGTAGGATATTGTCATTAATCTGGATGGCGTGCGTCTACATGTATTAGGAATTAAACATGTACTCCTTGAACTCCTTTTTTATTGTAAAATTAAAGTAAAATTGAACTTTTCCGTCCCTTATTTTATCAAGAGTTTGTTGGTATGTGTGCAGCTTTGGGGCCATGCGTCCGGCATAACAGTATAGACACTCAGTAAAACACAGAAAAATAAAACAGTTTTAGCCACTAAATCAGACAACTATCTAATTTAGATTGCTAAACTGAGTTATTGGACAGACCATGTCTGCCACTGCTATTTTACAGGTTATTTAAGTGTAAAATACAAGACAATGCAGAAGAAAATATGTAAAAGAGCAGAATTGGTAATAATGGATCTTTCAAAAATGTGCAGAACATCCTGATCCATTCGAATTCAGATGAGCACAAACATCTTTACGGGATTTGATGCCCAACCACATTATCTAAGTCCAGTCCAAGGAAACTTACTTGGACTTACATATATCCATGTATCTTACAAATACAGCTTGAGTCTGACTAATACAATAATGATTTTGCTATTTGGTGTTTATTCTCAACATGCTAACCAGCAGCAGACGTCCTTTTAAAAGTTGGTTCTATGACTAGGACGGTCAGTTATTGATATGTAAAGTGTGTTTATTTTACCACTGTAGAAGAACGATTGGTGCTGATGATTTAAAAAGGGAGCTGGTCTGTCTTTAACATGAGGAGTGTCAGCTTATATGTGCTTACTGGACAATCAGATTGACGTGAATAGATTCTGCAGCTCAAACAGAAGTTCATGTTCATACAGAGTGAACTCGGTGGCTCGTTTGGGATGACGAGAAACGCAGGGAACCAGTTTATTAAAACGCCCTCAAATGTAGACGGGATTTCTGTACTGAGCCGCAATAGCTAAAGTTTCAGTCAGCTCAGATCACAGTTTTAGTCGCTGACTAAGTAGTAAAACTGAAAAAAAGGTACTTCGTAAGATATATAAATGAATGAAATATCAAGGAGTGTATCAATATGAGTTAGTCCTAAGAGATGTGTATGAAGAATAACTAAATTACTACTGTGCTGTTGAGATTCTAAACAATCGCATGTTCAGCTATGAAAGTACATGAATGTGGAAGAATACTAAAAAATGAGACTGCTAATAAACACACAAAAAAAAAGAAAAACACAGCCTTTATATAATAATAGGTTGTCATACTCTTGTAAATGTTACATTAGTCATGGCAATATTCACTGCAAAAATAAAAAAAAACATCATAAGACTAAACATCTTTAGTCTGTCATTTAAGTGGAATTTGAACAACACCAAGACATTTCTGGCCCATCTGCTTTCTCAGGACTGAGTGTGCAGGACTGGATAAGCAACTAAACAGCTGTCACATTTGACTGATTTGTGGGTGTAGTCCCCCTCTCCCCCGGCCACCCTGTGATCCCACCAGGAGTAGTGGATGGACGAATGAAGGATCAAGATGCTTGAAATGAAAACTCTGACCATTGAACCAAGCACACACTAGAAATTAAAAAAAAAGAAAAACATCAACTTTATTATCTGTATTTAGATTGCTGTAGTTGTTTTTGGTTTAGTAGAAATTAACGTGACTGCAATTATTCACAGTAAGTAGTTCCCATAGAAACAATTTCAAGGTTCCAAAAAATTAAGTGTGGTCTTTTACAATAATTTAGTGTAAGTAAAGCAAGAGAGAGGGTATTTTAACAAACCCATGTCAGACATCTAATCAAACAAAGAAGTAGATTGTAAAAAGAGCTTTATGTTCATTCACTGATAAGAGAAGGAACAGAGGAAAGTTTGAGGTTCCCAGCACGTGAAGTCATTAAACTTTCCACTTCCTGAAAAAGAAAAGAGACAAAAGTAGGTCAGAAATTCAATGAGACAAATATTAACAGCTGTATGTGGAAACGTCTACATGAGCCGCCCTATGCTTTTATTCAGAGAGCGAATAATATTCCTATTCAACTGAATTTATGAAAATCACTGGCACTTCTTGAGACCTCTGGCATTTTTCTTACGTTTTGAATCTTTTATCATTTTTTAAATGACAAATTGCCAAATATACAGTACATGCAGAATTTGTTAGGACGCTTGGAAATACAGAACAAAGACAAATGAACAAAACTCTAATAACAGTAAATCTGGTATTACCCAGCACTTCCAGGCAGTTTTCCACTCGTGATGTATTATTTGGCTCCCCTGACAGCCAGTCAGCGTAGCCCCAGCGCGACCCATCAATCCAGATAAAGCCATTAGTCTGACAGGAAACAAAATGATGAGATACAATTCCGATGACAAAGTCATTTATTTGAATTATTCCCCTGATAGCTATGTAAAATGTGCAGCTTTCATTGTGTGATGATTCAATTAGTGTTTGAAGCAGAATCATGAATCCCAGCTCCCTGAAGGAGAATTCATACTTTCAAATTTCGTAGTCCTCCAACCCAGGTCCTTGTGCGATGCCCGTTTTCCTTCAGTATCAGTTTCATCACCTCCCTGTGGAGCTCTGCGCTGGTGATGGAGGCCAAGTGGCCACCAGGGAAACTCTCCTGACAAAAAAGCTACAAGGAAGAGGAGAGAAACAGTAGGATTAGGCACATTATACCTAAAGAGGTATAGAAATGGTTTAGATGTGTGTTTGGAAGAAGGACGGACACATAAATACCTCAGAAGCTTCAGCGTCCTTTGGTTCCCTGAAGAACTGGTAACATTTCCCCTCAAACAATAAACCGGAACAGTGGCGCCTCTCTGTGGCACAAAGATGAAATAACATCACGGCAGCATTAGATTTCATTAGCCAAATATCAAATATATGATGAGCATGATGGAATTCCTTTACTAGATAGTTCCCTAATAATTAATTAGGAATGTCTACAGTCTTAAATAAAATAATTGCTTCTGTTACCCATAGATGTGTTCATAGTTTCATAGTTCTCCCTGAAGATTCAGATAAAAAAAAAAAAAGATGTTGTTTCTTCTTATTTCTTGCAGACGAGGAATAAGAGTTACTTTGAGGTTGTTATATATACGATATTTCTGGTAAACGCCACTTATGGTTTGGATTTGTGTGTTCTGTGCATTTAACCACGCTTACCTAGGCTGTCTGGTTCATCTTCCACCAAAGCACTGGCTTCACTTTTTGACATCCCATCAGTCTGGGGAGCCTCTTCTTCCATTTCCTGCTCTTCAAAGAACTGAGCAGGTGGCTCTTCGTCTCTGATTCTCTGTGCTTCTTCCTCCATCATGGAGTACTCGTTCCGATATTCAGGGCTCATCTCAATGACACCTTCCTCATCCGGGAAACTGTTTTCAGACAGGGACTGCTGCCCCGCTGTGTCCCAGTCTTGCCCCTCCTCCAATGATTCATCATTAAGTTCATTCGGGAGAGGGTCCTCTCCCATCTCAGGCTCCAGAGTCAGGATTGAGTCTTCAGCTGAAATTTGACTCCTCATTCTTTGGATCTCCCTGTCTTCTTCAACGTCCTCCTCTTCTTGCTCTTCTGGCAAAAGTTCTAAGACGGCTTCTTGCCCCTGAAACGGAGCGCTCTCAGACTCTGTGTGACTGTCCTCATCTCTATACATGTCTTCCTCCAGAGGCTCTAACTCCATTTCTGCTTCACCAATGGCTTCATATTTTCTCTCCATGTCAATGTGCCTTTCTTCCACCAACAGATCTGAGTCGGCCTCTGTCTCAGGGTCCTCCTCCTCCATCATCTGAACATCAGGCTCCACCTTAACCTCTGATTCCACCTTAAAATCTTGTTCAGGTTGAAGTTCTGGATCCGCCAGAGTCTCTTGCTTGATTTTATTCTCTGCCACAACTTCCGCTTCTGCCTCTGGTTTGGCTTCTAGCTCTTCTTTCAGCTGTTCTTGCACTTTAGCATCAGGCCGTTTAACCTCCTGCTCCGCTCTCACATCCACCTCTGCTTTTACCTCCTGCCTAACCACAGTTTGGCTCTGCTTCTTGTCCACCGGAGCCTTTCTGTCCCCCTGCTCTTTGGGGCTCACCATGACTTGCGGAGCAGGGTTCTCCACCACAACGTGGCCCATGACGGGCACCACGTCCCCCAGCAGAGGGCCCCGGTTCCCTTCTGACACAGTAGGGTTCTGATGCAGGTCTGGAGGCAGCAGTGGCACCGCCAGGGCCCCTGGGAAGAGACAGGTTTGAAGAACTGCTGAAGAAATGAACATATTTCCTTAAATTGAAATGCTGGAAGGAACAATTATTAAGATGAAGAGTCTTTAGACCCTGGCACTTCTAGTCATTTGGAAACTCTTTCTGAGCTGATCCAAAACCTTCACTTTTCCATCAGCTTGATCGACCCTTTAACAAGACGTGTTAATTATCACTCTAACATAAATAGAATCTCACCCTCTTCCACTTACAGCAGCTTTTAATGAAGCAAAATGAGTCAAGGTAAAAAAAGGAAGGAAGCTGAAAATCGGGAACAATTTAAAGGGAAAGAACAACCAGAGAGAAGTGAAGAGGCTCATCACACTAATGGAAAAGTTTGAACTTGAAACCATATCTGATCAGTGACTGACACTTTACTGAGATTAAACTGAAAATTTACAAAGAAAGGACACGTTTAGTCGGAAAAGAATCATTGGTCAGTGGTGCTCATAGTAAAACTTTAGTTCAATCTCTTACCCATAAGGCTGGCTGACAGCAGTAGCAGAATCTTCATCTTGTTTGTTTCTGTCTGTGGATTCTCAGCACGTGTTGATATGAGTCTTCTCTCTCCTTTACCTGTGTTTGGCTGAGCTCTCCTGATCTATGTTATCGGCACTGAGCCTTCCCTTTATTTCTTATACGCCCATCGGGTCATAAAGCGCTGATCATAAGTTGTAAAATTCCAATATTTCCTGCTTTTGCTTCCTCTTGACATAGGTCTGTTGTGATTAAAAGGGTGGAAAGTTCACAATGTCCAAGGCCATCTAGAGACGTAAATAACAGGGAAACCATAAAGCTGAATCAGAGGCACACATGTTTCTCACAACAGATGAGCGACTGTAGACTTTTTGTACACAAATATCAATAAGTGATCAGTGTTTTTTTCAGGTGTGTGTGCAAATTATGGGGAAAATTGGAATGTTTGACAGGATATTGATTCTTAAACTGGAAAGTGAAGAATTTGGTTGATTACGTGTGACTGGCAGCTTATGTTGTGTTAGAACTAAAAACACAATTCTGCCTTTCATTTAAAAAAAGTTTTAGTAAAGGCCTGTTTGGAGATAGACAGCAGTGGTTGACTCATACAGTAACTCTCATTTCAGTTTGTCAGACATTGTCAGACAAACGTAGTGCTTACTGGTAATCTTCGGCTGAACTCTGAACTTTAACAGTGAAAACAATAATTAACCTAATTTGATCCGTGATAGGGTGGCACAGTGGTGTGGTGGTTAGCACCTTTTCCCCACGGCAAGAGGGTTCCTAGTTCAAATCCCGGGGGGAAACGGGACCTTTCTGTGTGGAGTTGGAATGCTCGCCATGTGGGTACTCTGATTTCCTACCACCATCCAGAAACATGTATTTTAGGTTTATCGGACACTCCAAATTGCCCCGAGGAGTGAATGGGAGTGTGTGTGGTTGCTTGTATCTGTCCAGGGTCCAGGGTGCACCCCGGCTATTGCCCGTTGTCAGCTGGGATGGGCTCCAGTGGTAGAGAAAATGAATGGATGGATAGTTTCAAACATCCATCCGTCCTCTATTCTTGCATTTGTTTGCTCAGGGAATAGAGCCTCACCAGCTGCCATGGGTCCACCCAGAACTGGCCATCAGTCTGTCACAGGGAGTAAACCAAATGTGCTCACAACCATGCCTACAATGTAGAAGGAATACCTAGCAAGCAGAAAGTCAAACAGGCACAATTTGAATTGGTAACATACACACTGGCTATTCAAACATATATTACCAAACGAGTACTGTAAACGTAGAATTTGCCGTTTTTATATGGTGCGGAGTCCCCTTAGACTGTTAGAGGGGTGTTGTTATGCTTGCAAACTTTTAGTTAAGGTTAATTTACATATGCACAGAACCGTAGAAATTGGGGTAAAGGCATATTATTAGTTCCAACTCATTTAAGATTATGTCAGAATAATCTTTAAAGGAAAAAGTGAACATTTTTATAGAAAAATTGTTTTCTTTTTATAAAAAGAGGGAAGTGGACAGAATGAAACATGATTACTTACGCTCTAACGTTTAGCTTTAAGCAGGACTTTAAGTGTTTGTATGGCAGGACAATTTGTTTTCCCTTTTTTTCCAGGTACTGCACAAGCTGGCTTAAACCAGCTTCTCCGTTATTTTGCATGAGATGTGAGGATCACAGCTGCTAAATGGATGATTGAAGTCACATGGCTGTCATGTGAGATCATAGAGCATTGAAAGACCCCGCGCCATGTATATAATACGAGGTCCCCCATCTCTGGGTTTGTTTGTGTGAAACATGTATGTGTCAAATGAGCAGTGGGCACCAGGTTGTGTTGCATGCATGTATGTATGTGTGTTTGTGTGTGTGCGTGTGTGTGAGTTAATGGCTCAGTGTGAGTTACATGACATCAGCTTGTCCTGGTCAAAAGCAGAGCAGCTGGGATTCTTGATGGTGAACAGGTGCTGCAGCTGAGATTTTGGGAGGTAGTGTTTCACTGTCTCCCTCTGTGTGCGCTTTCTCACACGTGTCAGCATGTGTGTGTCTTTGTGCGCTCAAGTGGCCACAAATGTAAGCATATGTGCACATTAACAAGAAAGAGGGACAATGTGCTGTTGTGTGGGGATACTGTTGGCTGGAAACCTAATAGCCAAGGCCACAGTAGCCCAGCGTTCAGCTGTCCCATCTCTGTCCCTCCTTCACTTGAGAGTGATGAGACTTGGAAAAGTCTCTGTTTCCATCCTTTACATCATGGTAGAGGAAGACTTTATGTATACAATTCTGCCTTTTTTTCTCCCTGCAAAGCTGATGAATCAACAAAGAGGAAGTGGCCAGATGGTAGCTGAAAAATCAAACAAACCCATGGATTTAAAGGAACGGAATTAGAAACATATATAATTGGAAGTCATGCTGTTCTGAAAAAAAGCATTTATACACAGAAAACTCCTCCTCCATGTTAAATCATAACCAAGGCAAAAAGAGGACAGGTGGTACTCTGTCAGACATGCCATAAAACAGGTGTAAAAGACTGGTAATTTATGATATTGGTAAATGCATATGCAACAGGAAATCACCATGCAGGGTCAAAACAAACATGAAGTGAAAACAATCCATGTTGAGCTATAAAAAGCAAAATACGTCTGTAAGTTTAAATGTGTACATCTGAAGTGCAGGGTGATGTTAAGTGACACAGAGCATCTCAGAAGTACTCACGTTTGGACAGCTAATGCGTTAGTTTACTGATTTAATAGCTATAAAGCAACACAAATCTATTGAAGGATAACCTAATTCCATCTGATCAACATAAGTCCCGCATTCATTGTTTGGCTTTGTTTTTTGGTCCCTACCAGGATCTGGTGAAAGTCCTGTTCACGCTCAACCCACCACCAGCTCCTAACTGTGTCTGTTGTCTGTATGATGATGATGTGATGTTTATATCATTGTCAGGACCTCTGTGATGAGTTACAACTGAGTAAACAACAACATGAATAAGTTAGCTAGTGAAGAGCAAATTAAGTTATGTGGAGCTTATCCACTTGGTCAATGTTGAACATCCTGATTTTTATAAATCTTCTCAGGTATATGCCCCATTCAGTGGTCTGCTTCAGTTCTTATTTGGACAGTTAGTAAACTCTCACTTTACTAACTACTCATTGCCATTAGATAACTTTGGCATAATGAATGGAGAAAAGTCCATTTGACTCAGATATTTGCTTGGATAAATCTAAATTTGTGGAATATAGTGAGCATTAATTGCCTATTGCGCGTTAAACTAGTAGCTACGTTTTGGCTAGAGCCATGATTATTTTATCACACTATGTCTATCGAAGGCCCAAGTGCCCCGTCATTTCTTTATACTTCCAAGAAGCCAGTTTTTCTACTAAAAATCTGAAGAAGTCATGAGCAATAGTTCTCAAAGGTCTCTGAATATCTTTCAGTTTTTTTCTTTAGACTCAAATCCTCACACCTGATTTTTTTTTTAATGTGATGTGGAAAAGTCTGTGACAAAGACTCAAAACTTGTAGTAAATTCTGTACTCGGATCTATGAAAAAAAGATGTTACAGTTTGAAGGATGTGAAATTGAACTTCTGCACAGTCAAAGTGATTTGCAGTGAAGTGTCTGCTGACAGCTTGGTCTATCTCATGCGGTATGCTGTGTCTGCTGCAGCCGAAAGTCTCTGAGAAACAAGGTCCATCCAGTAAAGAACTGACACTGGAGAGAGAGAAGCATCTGACCCTTTTGACCGCCTGCTGTTCCAGTAACCTCAGTAGAAATACTCTATATCGAAGGGAAACAGGGGGGAAAATGTCCGAAGTTTACAACAAAAGAACTGTAGAAAAATCTGGTGTTATGGTGTGAATAAGACAGCGTGGGGGAGAATCTTCTTAGATAACAGAAAAAAAGGGCAGCCAGCATCCCAAAAGGAGCTTTGAGACTTGAGAACTACCCTAACCCAATAAAATTCAGCCTGTAGGTGGTCATACCAAATGTAGACTTGGAAGTTGAGTAGAGCTGTAAACTATGTTTGTAATAGCAGTTTCTTTGAAAAAAATGTAGTAATAATGAATTACAGTTCTGGGCTGTAATCTGCAATCCAGTGAGGATAGCCTCTTAGATCACTCATATATTTTGTTTTCCTCATCTGATCTGATCTCCTCTGGTTGATTTTGTGTGTGTGGTTAGAATAGCTGTTTAACGACAGCCTCCCTGACTTTGTGCAACAACAACACTTGTTGTGGGTCAGGCCAAAGCCCAGACTCCTGCTCCTCCGGGCTCCTGAGTCCCTCCTCCGCCCACACACACACCACACACACACACACCACACACACACTCCGTCAGTTGTCCGGAACACATGAGCGCGCGCGGGCGGACGCTGTGGATGGAATTTGAAGAAGAAGCTGTTGAGAGTTTGGAGTAAAAGTAATCCCATCCACGCTCAGCGCGCTGCCTCAGAGCCACGAGTGGACCGCGATGACCATCAGGATGCTGGCGCTGACCCTTCTCACCGCAGCGCTGCTCTGTGAGTTCCTCTGGCTTTGCCCGACTTTTTTGGGGCCAATTCCAGCGTTTTCGATCCAAAGTGCCCCTGCGATTGGCGCAAATTAGGCAGCGCAGAGAAAACTATTTATAGATTATTTTTTCTTTATAGTAGCCAAACGTAGTTTATAGTCTGCCAAGTGTAAGAGGTGCACAACATAGTAGTTTTAGTTTAGAAACTTTTAACCTACGTTGTGTGTTTTCATTGTGTATGTTTATTGCAATAGTAAGACTGTCATTTTTCATTTATTTATTTATTTTAGCTAATTGAGCTCAATTAGATAACAATTAGATAACATAAAAACGTGCCGACAGAAATGTAAACAAAGTGTAGGACTTTCAAATGTTAATGATTTAGGTTGAAAGGGTTAAATGGGGAGGCTATACGTTTTTTCAATTTCTGTGCTGTCTCTTACAAGTTAGTAGGTCCTCAGGAAGGCATTTGGGTGATCCACAGGCCAAATAGTTGAAACTGTTGACTTCTTTTGTTCTCCATCTGCACCGGATTGACTGATTGATAGTGTGTGACTGAGCCTGTGCAGAGCCCCACATCAGGAGGGTGTTCTGCAGAAAAAGCCAGAGATTGCAGGGAGTGGCTGGGCCTCCTGTTTACGCCGAGTCCATTCTGATGCCGTTTGAACCCGAGATCAGCGGGCTGATGAGATGCATCTAACAGCACCTCAGAGGAATATGGGATCTTGCCGTTTCAGTTCGAAGATAGCCCGTCCAGATAGGGCTTGTTGTTAATTGGTCTTACATGAAAATGACCATTTGCTATCGGGAGAAATCCATTTGATGTCGCTGTGGGAATTTTTAGAAAGCAGAGGCTGCCTTCCACACAGTCGCTTCATGTTGGTAATTGCTGCTTTGACGTGTGTATGTGTTTTGATCTTTTCTGTATTTACTCATGAGGGCCAGATGTACAAAGATGTAAAGATCAGCATCTTCTGATGGGGGAGAGCTGCTAATACATGGGCTTTTAATAATATGGGAAGTATCCATTTGCGATTAATCTCAATTTATTGAGTCCAAAACACATTCTGAATCAGTTTTGCATTTGAATGCAAATTGTTAAAAAATGTAAACATGTCAAAAGCAGTTTTTCGCAATTATTGGCGAGATACCATATTTTACAGTATACTTACAGTATTGTAACACATGTTGCATGCAAAGTATGCTTACACACACTTCTAGTTTGCATCTCTGACATGGATTCAGAGTAAGCGTGAAAGCCAGAGCTGGGTTTAGGATGGGGTCAAGGTAAAGCACACAGTGCAGGGGGGGCCGCGTTAGATGAGATCGACACAAGTGATGTCAGCATGTGTGTGGTGTGTCAGCTGAGGGGTGTAAGGTTACTGGCCCACAGAGTGGATTTGTGTGCGTAAGAAAGCACACACGCGTGTAGATCACACACTCACACACTCACGCCTACAGAGAAAGCTGCGAGTTTCCAACCGTCTTAATATAATTCACTATCACATAAGCATCTTTATTCCTCAATTAAAACCCGATATACGATAAATATTCAATGCCTCAAAAGTGTGTCTGGCTCTGTGTATTCTGTGTGTGTGTGTGTGTGTGTGCGTGCTGAAGGGACAGATCACTGTCGGAGGTTATCAGGTCAGGATGGAGCAGCTTGTCAGAGGGTGATACATCACCCACATTCCTGCACACCGCCGCTCCTGGCACCACCAGGCTGCCGTTTCTCACTCCGTGTTTTTTTTCCCCCTTCATATTCTCTTGAGTGCACAGGATCAATTTACCATGTTTTGGAGTACATAGAGGCCACGGCGTCTTCACAGTGCCGTTCTCAAACTTAAGTTGAGAGATTTGGGGGTTTCCCAAGTACTTTGGCAAAAACAAATGTGTGCGTGTGTGTGAGTTTTAGTTGTTGTACTCGGTAGGTTTAACGGCTTTAACGCAAATTGAATAGACTCTCTTTGATTTATTAAATGGCTTCTACTCCTATTTTTGGTTCATTTATGGGGGGAAATTTGAATGGAACTGACAAAAAAGATAAGACGAAAACCAAACATGAATGTGCAACTGCAACTTTTCAAATGGACACATCTGTTTTGCTTTGATAGGGAATGGAAACGGGAAACTACAGATGGATTTTCTCTCCTCTATTTCTATAGTGAGATTGTGTGTCTCGTATTAGTAGCTCACGTCTTACTACTTGCAGTGGACAGTGGTCAAGGGGCTCTCAGAAAAATCAAAGAAGGCAGCGGACAAACTAGTAGCTCTTCAAATTAAGGAAGAAGATTGAATTTTCACTGTCTGAGACACTCAAAAGTGTGTATTTCTTCCAGCAAACACTACTTTGTGGACTTTCTGTGCTGTTTTACTCTTCCCTTGGACAGGTGCTCTCAGGCATGGCCACTGTGTCTAACCAGTCATCCGTCTTACCTGATGAAAAGGACATATATACGTTAAATCCCGAGCTGTAAAGTTTGTGTTCCAATTAAAAAATGTGTCCAGGACTGATAGATTGATCTTCCCTGTGCAGGTCCCCTCTGTTTGTCGGTGACTGTGAGCAGCAGTAAACCCAAAGTGGAGGTTCATGAGCACACAGGTGAGACTGTCAGGTACTCTTTTTCCCCATTATTTATGTTTCATGCTTTTGATTGACAAAACCCGTCAGAAAAAAATGCTTTTTTGCTTTATTAACCATTCTTTTTCTTGTAAGTACAATGTAGGTATAGTTTGGTTAATGGAATTTATGGTTAAGATGTGACTTAAAGTGAGGCCCTTATTATGTCATGCCAATTAAATAATAATTCTAAAGAATGACCGCCTGCAATAAAAGTGAGATGTGAGTGGATATTTGTTTCCCTCTCCTAGGAAACAAATGGTCCACATAATTTCAAATCCCTTGTTCTTTTGGCTCTCAGATGCTGTCCTGTCCTGCGAGTTCCGGACAGAAAAAGACCAAAATCCCAGAATTGAGTGGAAGAAAAAAGGAAAGGGGGTTACCTTCGTTTATTTTGACAACAAATTCACTGGTGAGCAAAAGACAGTTGCAGCACACATTTCAGAAGTGAAGCTAATTCTGTTTTGTCACTCTATCATAAATGTGTTGCACTTGCACTCTTTAGCCATGTTTGCTTTGCTTTTGTAGGGTCTTACGCAGGGCGAGCTAAGATGGAGGGGGCAACGCTGACCATACACTCCGTCACTCAGAAAGATTCAGGAGAGTATCGCTGTGAGGTCACAGCCAGCCAGGACCACGTCAACCTCGGAGAGGCCACGGTTACCCTCAACGTTCTGGGTATGAAGGAAAGCTGTGAGATTACTCTCTGCCTCTGCAGCTTCTGCATTCTGACCCCTGTTAAAAAAATTATTTAACATGAGATCTTTGAGATATGATTGAAATGTAAGAAAAGCCACAACCCAAAGTTATTAAAGCACAAACCTCCAGTGGAGGCTTTGGAAGGTCTGAAACCAATCTTTAGTTTAAGACTCATTCCACATGTTTTCCGCAGTCCTTTAACTTTTCCACTTTTTCCCATTTTTAAGAATGTAATGGGATAAGACAGTAATAAAAAATGGAAAATCTTTTTTTGCCTTCAATCAAGGCACACGTGCTGCTTTCAAATGGACTGTGTTCATGGCTTTATACACTATGTGAATTGGTTGCTCTGTTGCTAGGTAACCAAAAACAAAAATGCCACTTAAATATGTTTTTCTTTGAAAATGCTTCACGGTTATGTCTGAGTTCTTTGTCCATTTAATCAGCATTACAGATCAAGGAGGAGATGTGAATGGTATGAATATAATTTACCTTTCATGACATGTGGTTTGACACTGGTTGTTTACACATTCCCTTTACAGCTAAAACATCATGGATCCACTGACTCCCAGTTTGTGCGTATGAGGGTCAATGTTCTATTTGTAACATTCCACAGTTTTTCTTGCCTCTCACCCAGTGTGTGATGAGATAAACTCCATTCTTCTGTCATCCCGCACAATGCTAATTGAAAAAAGGATGGATTTCCAGATGCAAATCTTAGAGGTTGCATTGAACAATGGAAATATGACCTTTTACATCTTTCCAAGGAAGAAAAAAGGATTTTGACTTTTTTAAAAGTAGTGAAGTAGTGAAGCCTCAGAAACAGCAAGTCAACACATTAGTTGGTCAAAAAAATAAGATATCAGGTTCTGTTCAGGTGAAGTCACTCATGCTTTCTGGGGTCTTTTCTGTGTCACCTCAGTGCCTCCTCATGTCCCTTCCTGCGAGGTGCCAAACTCGGTGTTCATCGGCAGCGCCCTGGAGCTGAACTGTAAGGACAAGTTCAGCGTGCCTCCGGCCACCTACCGCTGGTACAAAGACAACAAGGCGCTGACCACCACGGGAGAAGCTCCCTACAGCATGGACGCAAACAAGGGCACGCTGGTGAGCGTATTAGAAAAAAACAAAAAACATAACTGTCCTGTTAAAGCCATTCTTACCTTTTTTCTGTTTTTTGGAGCAGAAGTTTAAGAGCGTGTCCAAAGCGGACGCAGGGATGTACCGCTGCGAGTCCTCCAACAGTGTGGGAGCGCCCAAGAGCTGCGTGACCAAACAGATGAAAGTCATTGAGTGTGAGCGTTTTTATTATAACAAAACAACAAAAACAGAACAACCTTAAGTATAGTGTTCTTTTCTGACAAAAAATGACTAAACTCTTCATCTGCTTTCCTTCCAGATCCTTTGAATACGACCATTCTGATCGCGGCGGCCTCGGGGTTGGCGGCGCTGGTCCTGCTCTGCTGCGTGTGTGTGTGTGTCTGCCGCCGGCAGGGATGCTGCCGGGGTGAGCTGCTCCTCACTGTGAGAGGGACGGGGGGAAGACCCCGTCATCTAGCTTATCTATAGCCATTTGCATGGCTTCAAAGTTGTAAAACCTGCAGTACTATGAAAGGCCATTTGAGGCCGGCTCCAAAAGGTCAATATGACTTCAAACCATACAGCCATTTTCAACCCTCCACATTAGAAAGATTGTATTTTTTGTGGCGTTCACTCTGCCCATGAGCAAAGTTAGAAAACTAATTTGTGAATCTATCTTTGTCTAGTTGATGTCTTTCAGCAGGCCAGCATGCTCCCAGCTGTATCGTAGAAACGGTGTTTTAGTTTAAAGTGTGTGTGTGTAAAAGACAGCTATGAGTTTCCTCATTCCAGGGAGGATTTTAGCATCTTTTAACTCTCAGTTTTATTGTCCAAGTGCTTTTCTTATCAGTCTGCACCAGCCCGTTGTTTCTGCTGTACATTTACAGACTCAGTGAAAAAAGAAAAACGATCTCAGGAAAGTCAGAACTAGTTGGTATCTGGTTAAAATATTGAACGAATAAACAACTCAAGTGCCAGCTATTTCTTTTAGAAGCTGACTGTAACGGAGCAAAGAGGAATATGCTCAGAAATGTCACCTTACTGGGCCAAATGCGGCTTCTAGTTGTTAATCACCATTTCCAAGAGATAATGATGTACATGTCTAAAAAATGATTGTACACTTTTTGACCATTTCTCTTTTCTTTGAACAGAGAGCAAGAAAGCAAAGAGGTAAGTCTTTTTCTTTTCCTCTCACTTCCAAGTAACTTTGTGTTATGGTTGGGTAATGAGCTCGTACTGAACTGTCACCCTGTGTCTTTCAGCTCCAAGTCCTACAACCCTCCTCCGCCTCCGCCTCCTCCGACGCGCAACGTGAGTGATCAAAGGCCTTGTTATCGTGTCGGGGCTTGTTTTTGCTTCCATGAATTTGGGTTTGCCATTAAATGCGGTTGAAAAGTGGCTGATAACACTTGTTTGGCTAATTAAAGGAAACCCTTCCGTGTACGTCTCTCTGCCATCTACAGTTCAAGCACTACAAACAGACTCAGTCCTTTATGATTTGAAGGGGAAACGCTGATTTCATCAAATATCCGAGGTGCACAATTACTGCAAAACAAACAGAGGGGCTGCTTTCGTGCTTGGGGCCGCCTCTGGAGGCCCGCCGGCTGCGGTCAACTCACCGAGGGACAAATCGCTACACATCCGGCAAGAAAGAGTTCGGATTTATAACATTTTTTTTACTGCAAAATATACAACTTGATAACCTTTTTAAATGCTGTAAGATATTGTTAAAGTGCTTTGTGTTTTGTGTGTTTTAAATGTCCTGTTTTAAAATAAGCTCTTAGATTACATCTGTCAGGGCCAGCACTTCAGCTTCTTTATGCCCTCTACCGGTCATTTACTCAACTGCCCACAGTAGTTCTGGTAAAACTGTACATAGACTGAATGTGGATGGTTTACGCTTTATGTTAGATTTGAGGAATATTTTGCATATTTACGTTAGTTACCGTATGTTATTATATGTTTTTTTTCTACATTGGACATATTTTTATAAATCTATTTGTTTGTTGGTCTCAAGCCATCTTTCTTAAACGTATCTCTTCTTCTGAATCATGGGTTGAACAGGTGTCTGCACACACTGAAAGGAACTTTTAACTGAATAGTTTATCTCATAATCAATAAAGAAAGAAGAAAAAACGGGTTTCGGGTTCAAAAGTGCAAAGATTAGTTTAAAAATGAATGAAAGTGTATTTCCATGAGAAATGTTTCCCAATATTTAAGGTGTATTTGAGTCCTGTAGTCATTGTAAACCTAAAGATTTAAGCAATAGATAATTTTAACAAAATGCTGCCAGATTAAACCAGTGTGCTGTCACAGAATGGAACAGCACTGCTGATGTGTTTTTTCACTTATCGTGTTTTCATTGTTCATTCACTACAGGAAGTCTATACAGCCTATATACCCTGAAAAAATACACCACAAATATTTCAGAATGTGCCAGTAAATAAAAACAAGGTTCTTTTCATTCTTTTTTTGTAACCTTAAAGAGTTCTTGTGGCCAGTTTAATAGTTTATTTTGTGAAATCTTTTGTTTGGGGTGTGCCACATGTTCAGTCCTCTGCAATGAGTGTAAAACTTCTTAACATCAGTTTTTCTAGAAAGCCATAAAATCCACAAAACACAGTTTCAACTTTTTTTTTTATCAAACACCCTGAGGACTTTAGCTTTTTGGTGCCATCTAATGTATGATGTATGTGTTTCATCTGAAGCAAACTTTTATATAAGATATAACACCATAGTACATAGAAGATAAGTCACAGCAGAACATAAACATGCCATATATGATATTCCGTATAATTTTTTACTTTTGGCATATATTTATTCTATAAGGCCAATAATCTGAAGCAGACCATTTTCATTTTGCCTCTTGACCACTAGAGAGCACCAGAGCAGTGATCCACAGCCTGTGATGCCAGCAAAGACTAAAGGCCTGTTTGATGCCAGCCATTCTTCATTATGCGAACAGTAGCACTATTGTGCTCCTCTTTTTGTACTCATTGTTGTCCTCATTGTGGCGGCCATGAAATTGAAAGTCCTGACATGCTCTGATTTTCTGCTCATCTCTTTGCGTCTGTCTGCAGACGCTCGGCTGGGCATGCCTTTGATGCATGTGTGTGGAAATAACCACACATTCCCAGATCTATTTGCATCCATTCTCTGCTTGATATGTTTCAGGTGAATGCAGGCATAAATAAGGGTCTATTGACATACATACAACCCTTATTGATCACAGTAAGCAGATCCTGTCGATGCAAACATTGCTGGATATGCTGCAGAGGCTCCAGTTCTGATCAGTCGCTCAGGCTGCAGACAAAGAATCTCAGCCATGCTTGAAAATGCAAATTCAAATGTTGTGGCAGACAGTCAAGTTTTGAAAAATTGTACCCTCGGTGGAAAATGAGACTGCTGCTTCCATAATTACATAACGACTACACATTATGAATTTGTTTGATGTTTTGTTTAGTGCTGCTCAGTGTTTCCAGAAGTTATGTTTTATGGAACAAATGGTATTTTTAGACATTATCAAATGATAACTGCCTCTCAGTATGTACATCGATAAGTCTTTTTTCTGAGCTCAAGCTCTCAGGTTGAAGCCATTAAATGAAACTGTACCCTATATGAAGCCCCATGGGTATTTTTAATGTACCTTGTAGGTTTTGCTCATGCATATCTATCATCTCCCTTCGGTGTTTTCTTGTACAGAATTGCATTGCTGGAGAGGCTGCAGTGGATCATTTCAACCCCTGTCAGACTCTTACCTGTAATTTGACTACATCTGTGCATTTATCTTCACGATTGTAAGCAAATATACAATCTGACATATGGTAACTTACACTGAAAACTTTTAAGTGCATGAACCTTAACCAAAATGCACGTAGGTTAATTTCCTGTGAGCGTTCTTTTGTTCTGCCGTAACACTTTAATGTACATACAATGCGGTAAAACGAAGCAAGGGAAGTTCCAGAGACATCTCAGACTCTCAGTACGTGAGTTTACCTCAACCAGTGTCGATATTTCAGGGGCGACCAAAGACCACATTCAAATAATGCAGACTGAGTATGTGTGTGCACAGCTGTGTCACACAGAGCTGCGGTCACCTTGTTTGACTGCTACAAATGGCCTGACTGTCACCTACTGGAAATTTCCCAAAAGATAAGAGCAGCCACAGGCACTTATAGGGCCTAGTTTCCATTCCCTCAGAGGACGTCACACTGTAGATGTAATTGAGCGCTGAGTCACTCGATCTGTAAAAATTTCTCCTTATCATATTTTAGATCTTGCCTCTAGGTTTTTTTTTAATCCATGGGATGTAATCATTCTTAATGTTCATTTGTTAATTTAAATCTAGTGAAAATATGCTTTGCAGGCGGGGCTTCAACAAATTGGCTCTGGTTAGTCTGACTCATCTGTGGACCCAATAATGCTTCACCAGTCTTATGATGAATTGTAAAGCACAAAAGTTGATCCAAGGCGAAAGAGATTTTTTGCGCTATAGGTGGAAATGTTTGTCTGTTTCAGGGCAGTGCGGCTTCCTTTGCTGTGCGGCTTTAAAGCAGCCCGTGAAAGCACAGGACATGATGACACCCGGCACAAAACTGTTTCTCTTAAAGCCTTGTTGACTCCCGGTTAGGAGCTTCGATTCTAAAAGTCGATATAGGGAGTGTAAAGTTGTCTTCGTGTTTCAGTTTGGGTGGACGCCATGTTGTACCCTTGTATCCTGGATCCCATTATGTCTGTTTTAATGGGAAAACCCCTACATCTTACTTCAGACATCGTTGTTGTTGCAGAGACTCATGTAACCTGCTGCAAATGGCAATAGCCAACAGCAAAAACTTTCACAAACAATTTGGAGCATGTCTAGCTGTTATGATTAAGATTATCTTTCATTTGTTCACGTTCTGCTTGTGATGTGCTGCCCACCGTTCATATTCTCTAATGTCTTCATCTGCCATCTAGCAGCCTAATAGCACGGAGCCCCTGTAATCTAGGTAGTTTTAGTTTGAATGTGGTGGAACAATAGAGATGGCAAACAGAACGCTCACTCACAACAGGCAGATCAGGTGGTTTGCTAATGACACTAGTTTGAATAGTTGCTAGGTTTATTTTAAAACTACAGATCTCAACAGGCTGCCTTTGTGGCTGCTGATTCTGGGATAGCGCTTGTGTGGGTTGTTACACATTGGTGAATGTGTGTGTGTCAGGAAGTTAGAGACAGTGTGAAAATATGTGAGACAAGGCAGCTGAGTCCGAGTGGTTTGTGGCTGTTGTATAAGTTTTGTGTTTTCAGTTTCCCCCTTTTTTTTCCTTTTTAGTCGAAGCTAGTATTCTTCACAGACTTCCCATTCCTGTTCTACTTGGAGCGGAAGTCAGTGTCATTTCTGACTTCACGTGAGCTCAACCTCCTTAAAAGCATCCAGGATCTCCTCTAATTAAAGAATAACCAGCTAAAAGCACATGAGAAGCCTCACACAGCTTTAACTGACACTTCTTCAATTTATTTATTTTATTAAACAGCAGTGTTTCTATTTAAAAATGATCCACTTTTGATTCTATAGAGTTGTTGAAGCCCACAATGTGCTTCACATTTACGGCTGAGAGAATGGGCCTATTAGCAGCTCTTGGGTTATGCAAGCTCACAATCATGAAGACATTAATGTATTATGGACCTTAGGGAAACTGTTGTGGCACAGGGAGCAGGAGGAAGACCACCGGCACACAGATACCACAGGAAACTCTCTCCCCGCTGTAGCAGTTAAAAAATAGCAGCAGTTAAACATTTAAACCCAACCAGACAACATCCCCTACAGTTTCATTAAATCTTTATGTTGTGGGTCTCTCGTAATGCCAATGGTCCTGCTGTGCGCTTGTGTGTGAGGCAGATAGGAGAAGGGAGGAAGTTCGCCGTCTCTTATCTCTTTTTTTTCTGTCTTCCTTCTAAACTGCTAATGCTGCTATTTAGCAATGCTCACTGACAAGACCGAAATGTGTAATTAGAGCAGAAACGGAGACTGGAAATGGCTTTGCCTCAAATCACAAAGGGAAACGTATACAAAGTCTGTCCTCCTCTTTATGCGAGCTCAAACAGGAGCAGTGTAGGCAGACTGAAATGTTTTGCCTCTATTTGTGGGCATGTTGGGGAGACCAGTGTCACAACAGTATGTGCCCTGTTACTGACAAGCTGCTGACCTCTGTTCCAACTGAATTAGCAAAAAGAATTCTGACCACATCTTTTCTGTCCTTGTTTTTAAAAAATTTTCAATTTTACCTTTGGAGATTTCATCAGTTATTTGTTCTTACTGAATACAATGGCCATTTGTTATTCTGTTTATACAGTGTGTTCAGTTAGCATAGGAGGCAAGTCATTCTCACTTTCAACCACAGAAGTTTGGTCAGGAAACTCCCATCACATTATTTACAGAAGGGATAATTCTAAAAGTGTTAAAAGTATTAAAAAAACGACATGGTAACCATCCTTAAGAAACATGAACAATAATTAAGGCAC